TGAACATCACTTTCTCATTTGATATGCAAACATTACAGGATATCAATATATTACTGTTGAAACATATTTCATCAGCTTTCGAAATTAAATAGCCACAACGTTTCAAAATCACTAAATATATTCCAAGAAAGTTAACAAAGTGCCTCAGAAAACTGGAATATTCTTCATGGTTTTTTAATTGCTAACAACATTATATTCATTTGTTCATGAAATTTTCTTTTATTCTCTTATCAGCAAATAAAATCATTTATCAATTCCCAATTACTTCAAATATAATAATAAATATCAATCTAATGATGAAATAGATATTTTTGCTTTGGATACTTTTGCAATTCACCAAAATATTGTCATGTTTTTCACATAAAACTCATGAAAGTCAGGTCTTTTTTAAAGTTTCAGAAGTTAATTGAGGTAGGATGAGTAACTTTTTGACTCTATCTATAATAAAATAAACAAGTTCGAAAAGTTGAAATTGTTTGCATTCTCTATTATTAAGTCAAATCATCGAGTAATTCAGATGGAAATAGACTATCAGTATATTTTTCTGTCACATTAATTGATGTATTTTCATCATCACGTCTTTTTTATCTGATTTTGTGTCATATTCGTTATATGGAAAATCAGTTTTATTCAATTTTAAATATTCATTTTAGTCGCTTTGTAGTGACATCTTTTGTTCAAAAATACCGTTGTTTTCGCATAAATATTCGTCCAATAACAACTAAAATTGATTAGTCACGATAAGAGAACTCAATTCATATGACACATCAAATCGCCTACACACAACTCGTTTGTTATTGTTTATTGTGTCATTCATTTTGTCAATCTCTAAGTGAATTACTCAGAAGAAAGTCTTACTGAAAACAACTTGTGTAATCTATTACAATGAGTGGCAACAATAAAGGAAGTATGGTATCTCGTATGTTCGGTGGCTCATCAAAAGGTGGTTCAAAATCGAAAACAGCACAAACGCCACAGGAAGCCATACAACAGTTGCGCGATGTTGAAGATGTTCTCAACAAAAAAGTGGAACATTTAGAAGCAAAAATTAACGAAGAAACAGCGATTGCTCGTCGTGATGCACGAACAAATAAGCGTAATGCGCTAACTGCTTTGAAAAGAAAAAAACGCTTGGAAAAAACTTTACAACAAATTGATGGAACATTAACGACACTTGAATATCAACGTGAAGCTTTACAAGTAGAACTTTATTGTTTTCGAAAAGTTTCTTGAGGTTTATTGATTTTAATTGAATTTAGAATGCAGCTATGAATGGACAAGCATTTGCTGCGCTTCAAGGTGCAACTAGTGCATTAAAAAATGTTCATAAAGAACTTGATGTTGAAAATGTTCAAGACATCATGGATGAATTAGCTGAACAACATGAATTATCAAATGAAATAGCCAATGCTATTTCAAGTCCTGTTGGTATGATTATATATTTCACTCATATTCTGTCTTAATTAATTATATTTCTATTAGGTTTTGGTGCTGAAATAGACGAACGTGAACTCGAAGATGAATTGGCACAATTAGAACGAGAAGCCCTATCAGAACAACTGACTCGAGTTGACTTTCCAACAGTTCCACATCATGCTATTCCTGCTTACAGCCAACCGGCAAGTGCATCAACGAATAAAGCAAATTATGATCAAATGGCTGAATTAGAGAGATGGGCATCGTGAATTTGTATTCACAAATATATAAAGGTTCGATTGGTGACAATCCATTCCCTTTCTTTTTTTTCAATCCGTCTATTTTGTTTTGTTCTAATAAACATTCGTCTCGTCAAGTGTTTTCAATTTAACTAAAAGCTTAACAGCTATTCTGTAAAACAATGCTTCATGTTCTTTTTCTTATGTATATTCATATTCATTAAGTTTTCAATGTCGGAAAATAAAATAAATATGTACCGATATAATATTTTTCTATAGAAAGAAAAAACCCAAAATGTTTCAATAATCAGTGTGAAATAAAAAAGAAGAATGTCTAACGCATATTTGCACTGCAAGTCAAGAGAGTCCTCAGCACATTCTTCCGTTTGGAAATTCTACGATATGGATATGTGCCGAAATGATTAATGTTATTTGTAATTAAATGATCTTGGCAATGGACAGAAACGGAAGTATGGCATATGTAATTCTTTTTTTTTTTTTTGTATAGTAAATCTAGATCGACATCAGAGTTTTATTTTTATGAAGATGTTTGAAGAATTGACTACTTTTGCTTCTGATTAATCGAATAAAATAAATCTATCCTGTCGTCAGACGCTGCAGTTCTGCTAATTGTTTATCAATATCATTCATGGATGATGATTCATGTTTATTCGGCAGTTTTATTGGTCCGGAATGAGCATTTGGCAAATTGATTTGTATCATATTTTCAGCAAGAATTTCATTATTTAAAATATTTAATTCCTTTTCAAGTTCTACATCTGTTGTCATTACATCATTTGTTAATATGGGCGTACCTAATAAATCATTAATATCATTTGAAATGTCAATCTCTTCTGTAATATTGTCAATAATTTGTTCAATTTTCTTTGTGGTCATTGACTTTTGAACACGTTTTAGATGTTGCTGACCAATAGTTAAACTATCAGTTACTTGCCGATTGAACTGGGATGCTTGAACTTGCTCATTAACTAAGTCAATATTTTGTTTCATATTCCATAATTTTTCTTTTTGTTGTTCAAGCTGTTTCCGTCGCTTAATAAACCTTATCGCGCCTGCACGATCTGGATTTTGTTTTTTCAAACATTCCATAGCTTTATTTTGTACATCAGCAATATCCTCATCGAATTTTTCTAACTTTTTATTCATTAAATCTTCATTTTGCTGTAGATAGTTTATTGTCCGAAGAGCGTCTTGATGTTGATCATCAACATCATGTCTACGAGATCGAGATGATGAAAACGGATGACTACTATCTTTCGATTTCGATTCACCGAATAGACGTCGAAACATTATCATAGAATATTAGGTGATAAAGAAAAAAAAAACATTTTATTTTAAATAATACTTTAGGATTTTGAAAGCGCCTCTTTTTCGTTCAATTCAACAAAAGTTCAATCCTTCTCGGGTCATAGTTATAATTAAATTAAGATTTATCACTTGAATGGCTCACATTCGATGATATGCAACAACAAAAACGAGGCATATTTGTTTGATTTCGATCGAGTGATCAAGGATTAAAATCAATTTTTATTCTTATGAGCAATGATCATAAGAATAGGAAGACAAATCATGTAGTTACGCATAAATAAAATGACTTTCTTTTTAAATGCAATTTAGCACTGCTAAGGATAAAGATGCTCAGCATTCTATGAATGTCTTTCGATTTTTTTATTCTAATTTTCATTTCAATGCGAAGTAATTATGAATGAGTCTCTTTTGGTTAAAATAAATCATTGCTTCTCGGCTATATTTAAATTAGGTTGTCATTTAAGAGCATTGCTAATTTATTACAGAATGGCATTTCCCTGATTTTGTTTATTACTTTTAGAGTTGAAATTTTTCGTAGATAAAATCATAGAATGTCGTATACCTATATCATGTTGGTTTGATTGTTGCTGTTTTTGCTTTTCTAGAAACCTAATAAGCTGAAATATTGAAAACCTTATACCAAAATAAAAACCATGATCAGTTTACAACAATAATCACTCAAGAGTTTTAGTAGGAATTTGTGTTAAAATAGCTTTAGTAGCATTAGTTGCTAATTGCATATCTAACATGCACTGGGTATGAGTGTAATCTGTGCGAGAAACAAAACCAGCATTATTAGAACTGCGAACGAAGGGCTGTTGATTATTACGCCACCATTGCCGCATCTCTTCTCTAGTCAGACCGCCGTGCGGTCGTTTCTTAGTCCAATTCAGTGCACTAACAACTAGCAAGGGTGAGTTTCTAGGATTCACAATATCATTCTGTAATTTTGTGACACAGTCCATGATAAAATGCCAGTAACGAAAATGATGTCCAGTTTTTAATAGCATCGTTTTCGTCATGAATAAAGCAACATGACCTTTTGGTAAATGACGAAAAATGTCACCGAACTCACCTCGTACAAAATAACGTATGAAAGGTCCCAATGGTCTCATAACGCCCCAGGAAGCAAGACAAGCCATTTTGCTATATAGAGAAAATGCACGATTAAAATCGGTTACCATAGGACTATCGGGCTCGAATATATTGGACGGAGTTGGATCAAATAAAATAGTGCCAGCAACATCATCTGGATATGTCAATCGATAGAGTTGCGCTAATGAAGCGCCAGCTGAGGCGCCAAAAAGTATAAATGGCTTGCGAAGTGCTGACTTCTCAATTACTTGTCGTAGCAATGCAAGTTCAGTTTCTGCATTGTGAGTATTCCAATCAGTTGGCGGCTCAGAAGCACCATATCCCGGAGAGTCAAATGAGAGTATTTCAACAGGCTCACGCATATATTCAACGAATTTGATAAACAATGATTTGACTACATACATACTGGTACCCAACCCGCTAATGTAGACAATGGGCGGAAGTTTGGATTCCGTTGCGCGGAGGTGTACTACATGTACAAGAGTATTATTGCAACCCCAAGGTTGCATTTCTTCTATTGATGGGTAGTATTTTTTTCGATCACGAGCTTCGGCATATCGTTCATATAATAAACCAAAGCCAGGAAGAATCCATAGAAGAAGAAATAAGATAAATAGAATGAGAATGACAGGCAGAATCACAATCATCAAGAGTCCATTGTAAAGAGAAGCGCATAGTGAAGAATTATTTGTTGCTATTTTTTCAGAAGCATCATTTGGTTGTAGTAGTGGATTTTCATACCAATTAAATTTCTCTTCTTCATCTAAAGAAACAACATTTTTTCTTTCCAATGAATTGTCACAACTAATATTATTTCGTTGCAATAATGTGACATTATCTATCAACGATGACATGATATAAAGTAAAAGTCTACTAATATTTGACTTGATTACTGGATGTATGTACTTACTGATAAAAACTCACCGTTACACTACAAAAACAGAGAAAAGGAGAGATAGAGCACTTTTGTGTTAAAAATATGAATAGGAACTATTTCAAGTTCGTTGTCTTCATTGGATCATAGTACAGCTTAGCCAAGAATCTAAGATGTTGAAAATAAATATGATAGGAAAGTGTTGTACGATTTTGATTTCTAGACAGCTATTTAGATGAATTTCTGTCGACATGCGACTGGAAACAATAAAATATTGAAGTTCTCATTGATTGATAGGGAATCTCGAAAGTAAGATCGCTGAGTCACTTGTCAAATTCCTAAATCAATATTCTGTTGCTACACACAAACGATAGTTATATGAGATTTGAAATATAGTCGTAGAAAAAATAGATGTCTGCTGTTTATTGTCATGTCACCTACTGGTAATTATGTACTTGATTGATCCTTTCTTAACGAATAGGAAACCAAAGACGAATCGATTGGCTTGTTCTATTTTGTTGGTTGTGTTCTGTTCTATTTTGAGGACATATGAAGCAGGACCAGGCTATCTAATTATCCTACAACAAAATGCAATCTATCAGCAAAATTAATGCTCGCAATGTGATTTCATCCATCTTGCCTATTCGTCGATGTTTAGCTAGTGATGTTTGTAGTTTATTTTTATTTCCATTTTTAATCTTAATCGTTATAAATGATATGTAGACGAGCACACCATGGCGAACAGCTTATGGTGGCAAATATAGAGTGACATTAATACATGGGGATGGAGTAGGACCCGAACTTATGCAACATATTAAAGCTGCAATTCGGTTAGAAATATTTTCTTTTAAATTTATTCTTAACTAAGTTATAAATTAGATGTGTTCGAGCACCAATCGATTTCGAAGAGATACCACTATCAAGTAATGTTGCTAGTGATGAAATGTTCGAACGTGCAGTAACAGCAGTTAAGCGTAATGGAATCGCTCTTAAAGGTAACTTGCCCTCTTTCTTCTAATGTAATGTGTTATGTATACACATATATATTCGTGAAATTATAATTCAGGAAATATTGCATCACAAAATACAACTCAATCATTAAATGTTCTTCTCCGGTATGAGTCTATTTTTTTCCTTCTATCAGATATGATCTAACAATGCTATTGATTTAATTTTGTCAGCAATCGTCTTGATCTATATGCTAATGTAGTACGATGTAAATCAAATCCTCTTATTCCAACACGGCATTCGGACATTGACATTATTGTTATTCGTCAAAATACCGAAGGAGAATATAGTTCACTTGAACATGAAGTAGATATCAATATACGATATTCTTTAATCGTTGAAATTCAATTTCTTTTTGTCTCTAGTGTGTTCCTGGTGTTTTCGAAAGTCTTAAAAGTATCGAATAAGACTTTATTTCAGTATCAAATATTAATATATGTTCTATACTTTTTCAGTCATAACACGAACCAAATCACTTAAAATCGCTCGTTTTGCTTTTGAAATGGCGAAAACAAAGCAACGAAAAAAAGTGACTGCTGTTCACAAAGCAAATATCATGTATTGAAAAAGATCCTAATATTTTTCTGTCATACAGACTAACCTTTTTTTGTTAATTTGTGAGCAGGAAATTATCTGATGGTTTATTTATCGAATGTTGTCGTGAAGTTGCAAGTGAATATCCTAACATCAAATTTGAGACAATGATTGTTGATAACACGTGTATGCAGTTAGTTAATCGGCCGGCTCAATTCGATGTTATGGTTATGCCTAACTTGTACGGAAATATAATAGCAAACGTGTGCTCAGGCCTTGTTGGTGGGTCTGGTCTTGTTGCGGGATCGAATTATGGAGATAAATATGCTGTTTTTGAACAAGGCACACGAAATACAGGTGCTGGTATAGCTGGAAAAAATATTGCCAATCCTTGCGGATTTCTTTTTGCTGCTGCGAATATGCTTAAATATTTAGGGTGGGTTCTTTTGTTGTCAAATTTTTCGTTCTGATTTTTGTTCTTTTAGGTTAGATGAACATTGCTCTACGATTAAAAAGGCCGTATTGAATACAATACACGATCATAAATTGAAAACTCAAGATATTGGTGGTACAGCAACAACCAGTGAATTTATTCAATGTGTTTTAACTGAAATTACTCAAATGACACCGCAAACTGGTTTTGATTATGAAATGCAACACGCAAAATCCTATAACTAATCAACTTGACGCAATAGCCTTTTGTGCAAATATCTAGTATTTTTTTAATTTAATTTAATAACCCAGTTAGTAACAATCCAACAGAATAATATCATCTGCTTTATGTTATTTTCACTTTTTTATTATTCTTATTCGAGTAACCATTGCTTACGAAACTCGAGTAAATTTTGAAGAAAATATTCAATTTTGATAAAACTATGCATCGAGAAGTGTTGTTCACACTAGACATTAGATGGATTCATTGATACAACAAAATGAGGTCCAAGGGGGAAAAGGCGGGTTTTGGATTTTTTGGAATTTTGAAAATCCCAAAAATCCGCCTTTTCCCCCTTGATGAGGTCACTGGTTGATTTTTTTTCTATGGTTGATGTTCACGAGAATATAAAGAAAATTATTTATTGAAGTTTCGCAATGAGACATGAATTAATTTGTAAGTTTATGTTTAAATCTGAATAAGCAAACGTTTCAGATAGAATGAGAGTTCAGTTCATTAATTACCATAAAAATAACTTCTATCGTAATTTTGGCTGCAGTCAAAAAACAAGGTGATTATCTATATTATTCTCGTGCAGTAAAGTATACAGTAATATTTATTCATCAGCGAATCACCCGGGTCAATTTTCCTTTATACATGACCTCGATAGGCAAATGTTCTCTTCTGCAAGTCAATAAGAAATTAAACTCATGGAATATTAGTCATATTCCGGTATGAAATTGCAGCTCTTCTTGTTCGAGGCTAGTGCTCTTTTGTTTAGGTTTTCATATGCTGTACAAAAAAAAACAGAACATGTTTTGAGTTCATTTATTCGAATCATTATTAATGAAAGAATGACAAAACTCATCCTTTGACAAAGCGATTGCATGAATAGATATTTTTGTTGCGTTTTTCTCCGGGTAGAGTTGGCCTTTCCTATCAAATATAAACGATATGTTCACTGTGCGACAGTCTCTTACTCACACTTGTCGAACGAAGCGTCTATGATACAAGTTTACTTCGATATTACTTGAATGCTCACGATCTAATCTAATATTAACAATTAAAAATATGATTTATCTTTACCATAGTCTTTCGATGTACAATAACGAAAAACAAAATCAACGAACAGCAGACTCTCGTCATGTTAGTGTTGCTTTTTTTTGAGTGAAATATCAATTGTATGTAAATGCAGTCATATGACTTATAGGGAATTGGTGGAAAGGGCAGAAAGGAAAACGCCGAAAAGGGGAATGTCGAAAAAAAAGGAGAACGTCGAAACTGGAAATTGCAGAAGGTAAAAACGTCGAAGAGGAAAACGTCGAAAGGAAAACGTCGAATGGAAAAAGTATAATTAATAACAGTGTCGAAGAAAAACTGCCAGAGAAGCAAAGTAGAAGAATTTTGAAAAGGAAAACGTAGAATGAAAAAGATGTCTATAGATAACGAATAGTTTTTCTTTTGATTTGGTAATCAATGCAAAGCAATTATTGAAGGGATTAGCATTACTACTTGGATCACACAAAAAAAAGAAAATAATACTGATAAACTTAGTTTTCTTTTTTTATTGTATTTTATCATATGATTGAATAAATTTTTATTTTTCGTTAAAATTATCAAGAAACGCAATTTTCGACATTTTCCTTTTTCTAATTTTTTCTTTCGACGTTTACAATTTCTGCATTTTCCCCTTCTATGTTTTCATTTTCGGCATTTTCCTTTTTTTTCGACGTTTTCCCTTTCTGCCTTTTCCACCAAACCCACTTATAGAAATTATGATTCTTTTTTTGAGTAAAATATAACCAAAAACTTCCCCATGTTTGTTCGATTGATCATTAAGTAAATAATAAATTCGTTTACGAAGAACGGAGCTGAAATTGCCTACAGTTATGAAATGGATGACATTAAATATATTGCCGATAACTGTGATAAACTACCGACATTATCAAATCGTATGTTTATCGAAAGGAATACTATCATCATTAACTCGAAGTCAAGCACCTTCAATAAACATATTAACGGCAGAAATGATCAGTTGAGCTTTCTTGGTTTTACAAAAGAAAAAGCAAATTGACGAAAGGGCAACATAAGACTGATAATAGGCGTCCGTATTTGCACGCATGAGGGCGCGACACTGTATTATATATCGATGTTTTTCAAGGACCGTATATTTCGCCTGTGCGAAGCAATCAACATGAGCATTACATTATTGTAAGTTTTAATAGCGAAGTTGAATTCATTTAAAACAGTGTTTCTGTTCGAACTGCTCTGTTTTTTTAATATAAATGGCGAGTATTAAGAGTTTTGAAGAAATATCTGTTAGATACTACGAAAGGAACCATGCCACTATATCCCAACTGTTATCGTGAAATAACAAATTTGTATCACGATTGTAGCCTTATGAAAAATTGTATCGTAAAAGAGTTGCGCTCATTTTCATTATAACTTTTAAAACATGTAACTTAAAGACGAATGATTAAACACTGAAATGACTCAGTTTTTCGAGGACTTCTGAATGAGACATACTTCTTCTGACGATCTCTGAATTAAAATTTGATAAAAACAATTATCTGCTGTTAGGATGAGATACTGAAATCAAATGTAACATTTTCGGTTCATTATGAATTCTATTTTTTACGATAGTATTACGGTTTTGTGAACGCTTGATTGATTGATTGATTTGCATCAAAGATAATTATTATACTTCATATAATAATTATCTTTTCTATTTATCAATCGTGAAGTCTATAACGTGTTTTTACTTTAATAGTCGAGCATCGTTTTTTCACGGTGGTTATGTAAAAGCTCGCTGAAATTTTAGTGTTTTATTGACGTTGAATAGGAGCCTCTTGTACATTACCTTATTTGCCTGAACAACACTTACCATACTATCAAAGCCTATTTATTATTGAATGATAAATATTCCCGTTTCAAGCTCTGTCTTATGGCTTCTCCTTAGTAAATATTCCTTTGCTCTTCTTTACAATGCTAAACAGTTGGGTATCGAAAAAACTTAGAAATATTTTTCTATTCTATAAAATATAATATGAAACACATTAATATATTGTTTCGAGTACAGTTATTCTTATTCAAAAGAACTGTTGTTACAAAATGGATACCCTGTAAGATTGGGTCATTTTTTTCTGAAATCGACCCGAAGGGAAAACAATTTTTTTTTCGTTTCAAAGTTTTGTCGAGATTCACAATCATTTATATGCTATACAAACGTTTACGATCTGCACATAAATAATTCGGATGTTCAGCATGCAATAGAATTGAAATTGTTTTCGACTACAGTGACCTCAGATAAGTTTCAAAAGAAAAACGCAATATGTTTCGCATTTTTAATTGGCTTGAAACAAGTGAAAATGTGATCTTTAGAGTTAGCATTAACAACTAGATTTCAGCAAATATAGCTTCAGAGAAGTTTTTCATGTGAAAAAAACTATTTTCAAGCGAAATTTTGCGAATATGTTCCTAAATCCTAATTGCTGTATTCAGGAGTTTCTTCTTTGTTGTTATGAAAATATCATCAAATATCGTGAGGTAAGAGAGAAATATGAGCTTTGCTTGTTTTTGTTAGAGTACCATGTTTTTAAACGAAATAGTTTTATAAAAATTGAATTGGTCAGCATCCTTTACAGTATTCGATTCCCTCGTTCTTACTATAATTTATAAAAGACGAGTGCAACTTTCACTAGAGATTAATATTTAACACAAAGGCTAGTCAGTGATGAAAATTTCAGGTATAGTTGTGTTAGATCTAGCAATTACAAGGAAATTTCTTGCTTAAATTGATGGCTAACTCGTACAAAATATAGACTGTGACGGGTAAGATAGCGAAGCAATTGAAATCGTATGGTCGTTCTTTTAGTTTTACTTCCGATATTGCTCCATCTCTGTATCATTCGATAAAAAAAATAGCAGTCTATGAATACTGTGAAGATTTGCGTGATGAAGGTCGTTTCACATCATGACATATCAAAGCAATTTGCGTGGCAGTCGACATCGTCTAATAGACATTTTTTTTGATTAAAAATCAATCAACATAGAATGCAATCTATCTATCTATATATATATATATATATACATATGCATATATATCAGATAATAAATATTCGCAGTTTATTTATATAATGAGCGTCGGTGAAAATTTTGCTTGGTTTTTCTGTTGTACAATTTGTTTCTCTATGACACAGATGCAAGCATTGTGATAATTGAATATTCGCCATGGTATTACATCCGCGTAAATCATGGTAACTATTTTCTATAGTTTCTCGTAGTGTATACCGTTGTTAATAAGAATATTCTTCAAAAATTCTAGAACGTTTTTTTTTGGTCCAACAACAAATTTATTTTCAACAAAGATATTCTCTTTTCGTTATATATGCATTTCTTTCGTTCTTCTGTTTTCTTTCATCTCACTGCTATGCATTTATTTTTGTTCTCTCAAAGTAAAAAAAACACCGATATTGACCTCGATCTTTCCTGCTTACTACGTAATTAGGATGGGAAGTTCTTCCACGCCCGCCGTGGTCACCAGACCTCTCACCAGCCGATTAGCATCTGCTCCTATCTCTTCGTAACTATTTGTGCAATAAACACTATAAAGACTTCGATAAGCTAAAATCCGACCTGACTGCCTTTTTCGAATCAAAACCGGCTAGTTTCTACAGACGTGGAATTGAACTATTGACAGAAAGATGGGCGAATGTTGTTGAAAACAATGGCGATTATATTGCTGATTGTATATCTTTGTTGAAAAATTAATTTATTGTTGAATCAAAAAAAGAACGTGCAGAACTTCTGCGCCAACCGGATAGTAATCGTATAATTCTAGGAAGTTTTGAGCAGTATGACACGCAAATTCTTGAAGTTCCGAGCAGTATTCTTGTAGGAAATCTGAATGTGACTAGATCAATGTCTTTCAGCTTTTCGAGATAAATAACAATGGAATAGCGCTCGCTATTTATGAAAAATTTAGAAAGAGAGAATTATTAAGAAATTAGAAAAATATTTCAAGCCGATTAAAAACCCTTGGTGAGGAAAATCATGAAATGCTAGAGATACTTAATCAGACTCCACCACATAGAAACATTCTAGGGACAAGTTTTATCTATATATTTTCTTTCCTAATAGTCGATGTGACGGTCGACGTCGCAAAATAATTCTAATTGCTTTCATCATCGGAGGTAATTTTTGGCTTGGAACAATCTTATTAGCATCGGTTATTACAAATTTCGAAAACAATTTAACTATACTAAAACTGTATCGGTAATAGAAATTTCATGTTTAATTTATGTTTTAATATTTAATAATTTTATAGAACACAATTAAAACGAGCACAAACTGAAGGTTCAGATGAAAAATATTATGAGTACTATTTTAGAATTGATTATACAATTGTTGAATCGACATGCATACCCGTTGATTGGTTTAATACAAATGCAACTAGAACATCGATTTTTCATTTAGTAAAGAAAAGATTATTTAGATCTACTGTGTTTGTTTGCTAATATCTTTTCTTTTATTAAGACAAATGCAAAATTGAACATGATTACAAAAAATTCAATATTTAATGTGAATATTATTTCAGTTAATCCAATAATTAAAAACAACTATACAGTTGAATCTAAGTGCGTCTAAAGGAAATTTGAATCATTAGGCTTTCTATCATTATTATCCAAGATAAAAAAAAAGAACTAATAGTGAGAAAACGATAGAGGTTTCTATTTTAATGATTAACGAATTTTACTCAACGCTTTTAAATAAGTAAAACAATTTAGAAAACTAGTTTATCCTTTGGTTTCGAGATATTGTCATAAAAGCTCCCTCTTGATTTATTAATTTCGAACAATACGATTTCTCTGATAGTTAATTATTGTTACTTAAAAATCTTCCTCCAAAAATCTTTAAAATCTCTAAACTCCTTTCGAAACCTATGTCTATGCAGTGCTAAACACAATCATTATTGATTTAAGTCTTTTAATTTTAAAATAATCAAACTAAAATGTATTTTCCAGAGCGAATGAGCATATTCTTATTTGTATTACAATGATACAGCAAGACTAAAAATCGGTCGAAAGCGTTCGTAAATATTCTCTTTGAATCTTAACCAATAGAAAACAAAGCAAAATTGAGTATCTATACTACATGATAACTTTTTTTCTAGAGAAAACGTTTTATTCTAGTCCTTTCAGTAGGGGTAGGACACGAGTTTGCGATTATGTGCTTCAATTATACATTGGCTTTAACTTTTCTTCGTATTGTAACGATGCTTGTCGAACGGAAAATGTTCAACTATTAACTTTCACACATAAACCATTTGGTGATTCATTAGATCGTTCATTTTCCATTGCGTTGTATTCTCCGACTTCAACTACATCAACTGTCGATTTCAAAATTTACCAATTTGTAATATGTAAGATTTTCTTTTCTTTTAAATTATCTCCTACAGTTAATCTTTACTTTTGTTCCAAAATCGTTCGAATGCTGATGAATAATTCTGTCAAGAAGTTGATCCATCGAAATTTTTCAAAACGAATCGGAACGATTTTTTAAAACCAAAAAATCAAGATGAATATTTTCATGGTTTGTTTTAGATCAAAGTTCAATTTATTTCCATAAACAAGTTTATATTCGTTCATTCAATGAAAGTCATTATGTATCAGCATTGATCCTTGATTCAACGGCTTTGCGAACATCAATAGTGATGTCACCCATAGATCGAACTTTTTTCATAATAGCAGATCCTCTAAATGAAAGAATAGTAGAAAATAATCCGTCGATTATTTATATATCATTATTGTCAACGGTTGTACCCAATGCGTATTTACGGCATGAAAATGCAAGAATTCTATTACGAAAAAACGATAAATCAATTTCATTCAAACAAGATACAACCTTCAAATTATTAATTAGTAAAAATAATAAAGACGTCGTAGCTTTTCAAGCACTAGATCTGGCGGATTCACATATAGCTATTGATTCAGAATCGCACACAGCTTTGGTTTTAACACAACCTAAAAACAAACAATCAGATATTGATAATTTCGAGACAAGATTTTTATTTAAATTGCATTTGAACGAATAAAAACTGTTTTTTTTTGTTAATTTTCAGAGTTATTAGAAGTTTTGTTTTATTTACATTAGTATTGAAACTATTTCTCTGTATCTGGGCGCGATAGTTGAATAACTATAATTCGATGTTGTTTATAATTATTTTCAAGTCTGCTTCTATTGTACAAGATAAGGAAATCGATCTACTTGTTTAATCTGCTATATCACTACAAATGATTGATTTCCACATAGAGTTGCATAGCACAAATTTTGATATAGGAAAAAGTCACAACGTTTACTCAGAAAACAAAATTTTTTGGCATGTCTAGTGAAAGTAAAAGAATATTCGTTTGCAAATTTGATTGTCTCTACTGATGACTAATTGAGTTATTTTATTTTTCTCCGAAAAATAACACTAAAAGATCGGTGTGAAAATTGTTACAGATTTACGAAATTCTCTTGAATGGGAATCGCTTTGTTGATTCAATCTATTCTAAGAAATGTGACTTGAATTATTCGAATTACATCATATGATAAAGAAGATTTCTTTTTGTTTCGATAATTACACTTCTATTGTTCGTTGCATTAAGGAGAGCTTGTCAGAATCCGTAGAAAAAACGTCAAAACGCACACGGTCCATGTCATAGCGAGTAGTAATTTGTCATTAGTTTGCCAGACGATGCAAAATGCAGCTTTTGCAAAAGTAATGGAACTCAATTCGTGAAGTACGGCTAAATTTTTCTTAGACTTCAATTTGCACCGATAGAAAACCGGTTAGACTATCAGCTAATGAAATATATTCTTTTTGTTGTGGATAAAATGTTTTTTTTCCAGTGTTTCATAGTCACAGAATAGAGATATTTATTTTATGTAAAGGAGATGAGAATGTAAAAAATTATGACATTAAAATTATGCGCTTTCTAAATGTTAGTGTGTGTGAAAAACAAGCTGAATCTTTATTTGGTAGATTTTTTTTCTTGGAAGCTTGTAATTTTTCATATTTCAGTAATAAACTTAGACTATATTGTAGTGAATTTTCTATTTTCTTCATGAACTTCTAGGCAATATGAGCTTTCAACAGGCCTTGACAATTCTCGGCTTGTCATTCGAGCGTCTTTTAAATAAGCGTAGGTGTAATCTATTTCTTCTTTGTCATTTTCATTACTTTTGAATGATGTATTGAAATTGATGTTGCTCGTTTACAATAAATGTACACATAAGAAAAAGTACTTATAGCGCAACTTAAATTAACTGAAGAGCTGAATGCTCGACTTAATTATTAATACAAAATTTTACGACGGAGAAAAAATTGAAATTCTTATCAAACAAGTGAACAACTTAAAGGCATTCATAGAAGGAAGAAAAGCTTAATTCATACTTATTTTTTATGCATGATGGGATAATATCAAATAATCAGCAGCATAATAACGCTTTTTGATTTCAATATGAGCTTCAATCCTGAAAAAATATTGTTTTTGATTGCGATTCCCTCTTGAACAGAAGAAAAAAACGTTTTCGTACTCTGCGTTCCAGTCCAATGATTGTTTTTGCAATTTAGCGGCATCATGTCTGGAAGAAATAAAACATAAGCAAGCATGTGAAAAATAAAGAATCTACATCGCAATCGGCTTTATTTGTGTTTTTTCTGAACGAAAACAGACTATGAGTAGCAAAGCGTTCGAAAAAGAAAAGCTTAAGAAAATAATGTACGATGGTGATTCATTGATAAAGTTTGTTGAAAATCACATGGATTCAAGAAAATGCTGGAATTATTCTCATTATGTTCTTACAGATTAAGAACAACAACAATTTTCGTCTTACAATGATGGAAAAAGACTGTTGTTATCGGAATCCGAACCTGGGGAGGAGTTCAGACTTCACTTCTCTAAAAAAATTTTAAATATAAAATTATCACCTTTGAAGTTGAATATTTCATGCATAACAGATAGTAATGAATTAATATTGAATCATGAAAGTTTAAAACTACACATTTTATGAATTCTTCAGTATAATTATTGACAGCTCGTTGACACAGCCCCAGTGGGGTTACAATCTGGAACTCACATACGATACAACGCAACTTCTGGTAGATCATTTAGTAGATTATTTTGCATAATAATACACGTTTTGAAGCTTGGATGAATTAAAATGAAATGATAAAAGATTATTACACAGTAAATTTCATTTGGTGATTAAGAGAATCCAAGCTTGCTAAGAAAATATCAAATTTCATTTAAAAATCATTTTCGATATCGTTAGATTTGTTAAAGTTTGTTTTTCAGTTTTTATAATCAATGAAGGGGCGTTGGTAATGGGTGAGTGTCTGAAAGGGTGGGGCGTGCGGAGCTGAAAAACTGCGGCCTCAAAAGTAGACTCACTTTCTTACTTTAAATCCTATGTAAGTTGCACAAAAATATACTGATTCCATATTTGACTTGATTTTTTCACAAGAAAGTTTGGCATGAACGCTCGTTCTCTCATGTTTGACTTCGAATTAATTCTTTTTAAGATATAAATTTGCAAGAGATATAGTCAATAAGCCTGAAAATCGAGAACTATTTGATATCATAAGCAATTTATTAATCCCAATTTTCAATCACTCTTAGATGATAAAATTGGCGCTATTCTTTCGGTGATACCACTTCACACAAATGTCTCATGAATACCTTCAGCCTGCTATCGATTTTATCATCAAATTTCTGATGAATATAATAGTTTCCTCAATGTCTACTTGTATCCCGAATGAGTTATTTTCTAAGATTGTTCACTTAGCATTCTTATGTACCAGGGGAAAGTAAGCTATTTCAATAGTCGAAATCATTTTCCAGTTATCTGACATCATCCGAAACCACTTAAAATCCAGAAATCAGCTACTGCCTTCTCGCAATAATTCAAAAAAAGACGAATATTCTCTACAACACAACTCTTTTGAGACCGACTGTCATCATTGAAGATTCAAATTTTCGCCCGAACAAAATTAAAAATACAACTGAAGAACATTATTTTCGTCTCGAACTTTTATGGGGTATGTTTACATCTACTTCGATTATTTGCACAGCGTTAGTGGATTAAACTATGATTGAATTGGAGAAATGCATTGAAAATGAATGAAAGTAAGGTGCAACCAATGCAAAATTCGCGGAAAATGTTTTTTGTTTTTTAGTACACCCTTCGATAGAGCAGATGACGGCGATCACGAATATCTGATTTAAAACGTTTCTAGATGCTGCCTTGGGTCCGAAATAAAACAGGAAAATGTTCGGCTTCTGAAAAACCACTTGTTTCAGTGATTTCCCGTAAAATGCGATTTTGAGACTCAAGACATAGTCTATTTAACTTAAAAATGGCATATTCTTGTTCAGCGTGAAATGATGAATCAAAATACGTCATCAATAACTTTATACACACAAAACGTGGTCTGGTAAGGTCTCTACAACGAAAGGTGTGGGTGTGGTTGTTAGTCGTTCTCCTTATTTTGTCCACACCCACACCCACACCCTCAACAAAGTGCAAACATGAAAGACATCATAAATATAAATACTAGGGAATACAGTAATGTACAACAATCAGAATAGATCCTAAGGTATTAATTATGTTCATTTAAGTACATCTATACTTAGTACCACTACTTAAGTACAAATCTACTTAGTACGGTTACTAAGTATACATTTACTTAAGTAAATTGTACTCGTACTTTTACTTGTCCAGTGTCTGATGAGAATCCCTTCTTTTCCCCCCACACATATTTCATTTAGTAAAAATATTATTCACGAAAATGTATAAGAACTATCTCTTGCGCATTGTTCTAAGATATGATCATCGTTAGTTTGAATATTAGCAATCGCGTCCGTCATACAAGATCATGATTTATAGCGGTACCAAATAGGTACGTTTTCGTTAGGTGGCGCAATACCAACACCAATGCGGTGCTTCTGTTCTGTAGGAATAGTTTTCATGTCAATAAATTTATATTCCATATGCCGCAAAACCAAAGCTATGCAAGTCTTTATTTCATATCTGGCAAGGTATCGTCCAGGGCATATATTCTTACCCATACCAAAAGGCATAAAACCAAGCACAATATCAGCATTTTTCTGAACGAAACGATCAAAAATGAATTTATCTGGACCAGGAAAAAGATTCCCGTCACGGTGTGCTATGGCAGAGAATAAAGCGATTGCATCGTTAGACTTTAAATGCAAAATACGTCCATCATTCAGAGTTATATCAGTTGCATGCAGGCATTTTCGCAATACCATAGGTGTTGCAACTAGTCGTAACGTTTCGTTGATAGCACTTTCCAAAAGTACACAAGAGTTTAATCTAGCAGTGGTCCATTCACTAACGAGTGAGATACTAAGATCATCGTCAAGTGAAAAACTTGGTAAATACATGTCGATTTCTTGTTGAATACTTTCTAATGCTTTCGTATCGCGCAAGATATAAAGCAAACACCAGAATAAGGCTGGAGTACTATTTGCCAATGATGCCCACATCATAGCGGTTTGGTTCCCACCAAACTCTTGAGCTGAATACCATTCTGGATGGTCAAGCAATAAGTCTGCCCGATGTTTAATGAAATCACTCTCATGTAACGGATGTATTTTGCTGAACCAAGAATTATTCAAACGGAAGCGTGTTTGTAATTCGCGTCGGAAGAAAAATGAATATATCCAAGAAGGAAGAAGTGCATTGAAGTAATGTATTTTCTGGTCGAATAGACGAAAATCATTTTCGATCGAGAGTGGATTGATTTCTCCAAACAATGCTAGCGATGAAGGTTCAAAAAGCATACGATGGCTGAATGTTATTAAATCAGTCGATATCCATTCACTGAGATTCTTACTATTTTTGAGAGCCATTCTTTCATGCATCATCAACTTGCGCAAATTTAGAACAAACTCAACAATTATAGGTTGCAAACGGTCCCGATTTTTCAAGTATCGAGTATAATATCGATGAACTTCTATGTTGAGCTGTTGAAAACCTATCATAATTTATTATATTCCTATTATTTTATATTAATTCTTGAAATCTGAAACTTACCAATAACACTGTTTCCCGTATCGAATACCTTTATGCCAAATTCATGTTCAGGAAGATATAATGATGAATTACGAGCAACAGTCGCCCAGTCGAACGGTGAAAGTACAAATGTAATGCGCTGGGTGAGCAACTTAACTGTGAAACATTGTCCGTATCGTTGATGGCATTCCATCAAAAATTTTCTTCGATCACGAAGGAATGGAATTAAATGGCCCACTACAGGTAGATTTCTATATGAGACCAATGGGATTGATGAAATATTGTCTTTATGCAACAGTAGAAGATAAAGTAATACAAGAACCAGAGAAGCTAAAATGAAGCTGCTCAATAACATATCTATCTTGATCAATTGCGCTGATGAGATTTCGAGTAATCCAGGCAGAATACTTCACGATTACAAATTGTAAGACACGATTTAAGTTAAATCTAAATAAAGTGTGCCGTTTGAATGCAGAATCGAAAGAATATTGAACTGTAATTGAATCCCAGCTGTCGAGCTTCTCAATAATAGTACGTCAATGTAGAAAAAAATATAATGTTTTAGTTCAATTATAATTGTTTTGATGTTGTCCTAGGGTCTAGTGATGTAGTGCACGATTTCTGGACTGTTCAGTTCTCATCGAATGAACACATACCATAGAAAGAAGTAGTACCTAAAAGAATTCAAGAATAATAGATCATTACTATATTGCATAATAAACCTGCAATATATTAAATTTTTTTCTGATCTAACATTATTCATCAAATCAGAATTTTTATGAAAAGATAAGTATTGCTTACTTTTCAACTAATCTCATCGATAGATTTCGAGCGGTGGACGACAACAGTTGCCAATGAAATTCAAATCACAAAGTCAATAATAAGAGACAACAGCATTCTCGACTACTCTCATAATCATAATTTGAAGCATATAAAAATGATTGGGAAGTCATAAAATGTGTGAGAAACCTTATCTTGCCACTCCCTTTTTATTGAATTACTCGATGAGATGAAGCGTAGAAAATAATATGTAATTATAATCATGTAATTATAGAAGAATTCAAATACGACCAGGATATCTAGATAAAGAAGTTTCAAATCGTTGAAAACTATACTAATATTAACAGATTGAGTTCTAAGTACGTAGTTAAAAAGTTTCTTTTAGAGAAAAATCAATTTTGTCTTTAAAAAGTTGCATTTGATAACGAGTTTCCATGGAAATGCTTGTTGTGATGATGCAGCATCGCTTTAGTACAGAAATGAGGTGAAATTGTAGTGGATGAAGGATATCCTTACAAAGTGAAAGTCACCACCCTTTTTTACATCTTGAATTAAAATTCTCTATATCAGTATATTGATTTATAGACGTAATCAATGATATCTATCGGGCAATATTAATAGTGCTATTGGCTAGTATTTAACTATTATTATCCTACTGTAATGCAAACAAAGTTGTTGTTTTTTCAAATCTTTAATGCTACATGGATTTCGCATAACGATAGAAAGTGCCAGTGGTTAAGCGTAAAAGCTTGATAAGCTTCTGTACGTAGTGTTGAAAAACATTAAAAAAATACGATCACAAATAGTCTGTATAGACTTCAATGACACAGTAAAATTGTGACGTAGCTATATTATTTCGATCACTTTCTTACGCGGTAACCTGTCAAATTGACGATTAATCTCTGTCGGACGGCTTGCAAATTTTTAATAATGACGATTTATTTAACAAATCATAAACTGAAAATTTTGATTCTTTCTGAAAATGATAGTGGCATGTTTTAATTGTCGAATTGCCATTATTATCTTCCGTTTTTTGACCGAATACGTTTTTCTAAAGAAAGAATATTAGTTCGAGAAAGTGTGAAAACCATTCGATTATTCTCAATTGAAATCGATTTTCATTCATTAACGTTAGAAATTGCGTTATGTTGCATCATTTTTTTATTACCAAAACGCTGCCTGCTCGATTTTTTAGATTTTTACACGTGAAACATTTTGGTTTGCTTCACCAAACATAATAAACGATCACAATTCTAACTTGAGCGGAAATATTTAAAGTACCTGACAACGAACAAAGATCAATGTTTAATGCAAATATCGAGATGATCGGTAGGGCGCGGATCTAAATCTAACAACAATGAAGCTAATCTAAACAGTGCAAAATTGTACAGACGAGTATTACAGAATATCTGATGAAAGATTAGAATATTGAAAAAAATAACTTTTTCTTCATAAAAAAAGATTAATTCTGTTTTCTACTTGATGCATTTCGGGATATCGAACAACCATCTCTCTAGTGGATTTACAATTTTCTTACAGCATTTTTATATTCCGTACAGTTCATACTAAACGATATACGCTTTCTATACGTTGCTTGTAAAACAGAACTAAAAAATCTTTTAAGTACTTTTAATATTTATTGAGTAAAATATATGTAAATAAACTTTTCTCACTAGTTTTCACTTTTTATAGTACTTATTCATTTCGACGATGAGCCACAGCAATTCCGACTCATTTTTGCTGCAAATAATCACTCAAATCAGTAATTTTATCTGTAAAGCATATTTTCTGTAGCAATGTTTTTTCAGATGTATCTGTTCACTTAATCACTGGCACGAGCATCAAGTCAAATAAAAAGAAGAAAGAATATGCAGGGAAACTTTTTCTACATCGTTCTACACGTCATGCATCAATAAACCATACATTCATTGCCTATTATAAAGTAGACACGTTTCGAATAAGATCGTTTATTGGCAGAGTATTTTAAGTAACATATGAATATACCAGTATTGTGGTCATTTTCAAGTCTTTTCCAAATTGCTTAAGATATTTCGTGTTACTGATACTAAGTGATTGACATTTGTTGTCTACAACAAATCTGAACTTGCAGCAGCTCGTGTTTCCTGCTCTTTTTGCTGCCAGTAAGACACACTACTCATTTTATTGATGAAATCCAGAACTTTTTCTTTTAATTACAAGAAAAGTAGTCAATATAAAAACTTCATGTATATTTCACAGACCGTTTAGTTTTGCGTGTTAGTTTTACTCCTTTAACGTTTGATATGAGAAAAATGCGTTACAAGGAGGGAAACAATTGATTAACTGTTAAGGGTACTAGAGAATTTACTAAGCGTAACATTATCAATATTCAAGTCAAGTAACAGTCTTTATGAGCTACTCACTCATAAAGAAACTATCGAAAAGCGGACCTCATGTAATACACGCTCGTATCCAAGGGGAGAAAAGCGGATCCCGGGATCCATTGGGACCTATTGGGATCTGATGGGATCCGGGATCGGGGATCGGGGATCCGCTTTTCCCCTTGAGTGGCAAACGAAAATGATTGATCGTTGATTGAGTTTCTACTTCTAACTCAATGCTACAATGATTATTGTACGTTTCTTTTTCTCATAGGTTTAACTGCAATCGATGCTACCAAATTGAAAAAAGTATCTCCAGCATTATCGAAATTATTTGAAATCAGATTACAAGGTAAGTTACATGTTTTCTCTGAGAGCAATATGCCTGATCACTACTCAACATTTGCTCTTAGCGATATTGCTAGTAAATGTTGGCAATGGAATTGTGGCCATGACCATGGTCAACAATGTGATCGATATGAATTACTCAAAATTACTCTAGCTAAACTTTGTGCATTTATTGAACAATATCAAACTGATACAGCAATGCGTGATCGTCTACTTTATCGGGTGCAACAACAAGTTCAAGACATTGAAGAGTGGAAAGTACATTTGTTACGTACGATTCATCAAGATCAAGCACGTATTGATATTTTACACAATCTCGGTAGTGAAACGGTTACGATTCAAGTTGATTGGGCAATGAAACGGCTTCCAGTGAAGTATCGAGTCCACAGTAAGCATTCCATTATACTTGATCATACCATCAAACAAAATAGTAATTTACTATAGAAGGATCACTTTGCCAAAAGAGGAATATCGTGGTACCTTGCCTATGTGATTCGAAAAACATTTTCAGAATCAACAAGCTCATCTGATTCATCATTTACTTCAGAAGAAAATGTCACAAATCGTAATCCAAATAATTATACTTTTCAGCATAAAACTTTTTGTCACGTGCTCGGTCAATGTGTTCAAAATGCTAAGACAGTTATTTCTATTCTTCGGCATATATTTTTAATGCTTCAACAAACTGAATCTGATATTAAATCTGTACATCTCAGATCAGATAATGCTGATTGTTACCATAGTGCAGAAGCATTATTGAGTGTTGAACAACTTTTTAACGAAACAGGTATATGGATCAGATCCATCGATTTTTGTGATCCACAGAGTGTTAAGGGACCATGTGACCGTATAACTGCAGTGGTCAAATGTTCAATACGCCGTTTTGTTAACGAAAAAAAATAACTGTACTAATGCAATTGAATTTCTAACTGCTGCCGATGACTTTTCTGTACCGATTTATTTCGATTTAGCATTTTATTTTGACATTTTATATTATTTCAGAGAGAACAAATGGAGTTGAATTTTATGCAAGTGAAATTCAAAATCCACATACAGAAAAGATCGAATGGAAAGATGTGAAACAAATCAACAATATTGAATACATATTAGATTTTACATCGGAATCAACAAAGCCATCAATTGAAGTTCGTGCTTGGCAATCGTGGAAAATCGGTCCTGGTAAAGTCTATCGATGGCTAGACTTTGAAAAAACTGTTCAAAAATTAATCCTTTGCACATATTTCATTCAAAAAATGTCTCGATTCCTTGGATTAATGAGTGTCACGAGAAAGCTGGTGATGTGATCATTTTTTTCTTTGTTATCAATAATTTATTCTCTTTTACAGATGAAAATCGAAGCAATCATTCATACCAAGATGAAAATAGTAGTACTGAAGATGAAAATGAAGAAGAATCAAATGTTAATGATGCATCTACATCAGAAAAAGAGCATTATTTTTTCGATTGCCTCACTAGTGGATGCACAGCTCGTTATCGTTCTTATGCAAACCTTCTACGTCATTATGCAACTGGAAAACATAAAATGAAACTAGAAAAACATTCTCTTATTGATAAGAGCAAAATTCTTTTTCATCAACATTTGTCAACAAATCATCTTCGATCAACACCATTAATGTCTATCACTGTCATTCAACCTGTAAAGAATCCAATAATTTATTCACTTTCAAAAAATTGGACTTCTCATAAAACAAAATCGAGTGTACGTTTCAACAAAAAACAAAAACAATTTCTCCTGGATAAATTTAATGAAGGTGTCAACACAGGAAGCAAATAACAAAAACTATTTTGTTGGAAGATGAGCAAACTTTTGTTCAGTGAAATGGGATCCGTCAAGAGTTGCGTTAGATATGGAAATGCTAGCGAACAACGGTACGTACGTTTTCAACAATGATGAGTGTCTCAGCCAAGGTCAAGTCAAAAGTTATTTTTCCCGTTTGGCTCTCAAACAACGATCAATGGAACAAGTTTTGGATGAACAAACAAAAAAGAAAGCAATATCACACTCATCATCTACTACCAATAGTAACGCAACTAATCTCCAATCGAATGATACAATCATTACAAGTGAATTCGATGAAATTGAAGAAATTGATACTCGTGATCTAGAAGTATATTCATGGCGTCAGATACTTGATGAAACAAAACGAATTCTTGATACTCCATTCATTTCTTCTCCTTCATCAGTTGCAAGTCCCTCATTAAAAAGAAAACCAACAGTAGATGATTAAACAATTCATAAATACACAATCAAAGCAAAATTTGTGTATAAAAATTTTTTATGTTTTTTTACATATTGTTTCTCGTTTTAGATCATTTTTACTCTTGCATATTTACCATTTTAGAATGCATTTTTTGTATTTAACTTACAGCATCACTCTAAATAAAAATGTGTCGGATGTGTCGTAAACTACGACACAAAGCACGACACGAGGTGCTCTTTACGACACATTCTGTCCAGCAAGATGACGACGCATTTTTCACAACACATCCGACACATTTTCTATTGGTCGTTTTCGAAACGCATATTTCAATATTTTTTGAAAATTTAATCTCATCAGATCCTCAGATCTGGCTGATTTGGTATTGATCCTATTCCCACCAGACCATCCAGTGTAGTCCTTCCCAGATTGAAAATCAATCAAGAATTAATTTAAAAGAAAATTTTATTTTAAAAACTTATCTTTCATGCGTTCAGCGATGCTGTTTATATGTCGCTGTATGTTCATAACAAAACGGTGAACGACTAGTCGACAGACAGAACGCGAAAAATATACCACACATTTTTTTTTAATTATAAGTGCGACACAAAAATTCGCGCCACATAAAGTCGACGCATTTTTATTTAGTGTGCAGGTAAGTTATTCAAAGGTGAAACATTAATTACTATCAGAGGCTTTGATTTCACGCGAAAAATATTGTAGTCATCATTAGCACTAGTTATTTTATCTAGAGCATGAAGGGTGTACACGTTCGTACAGAATAACGCTAGATGCTGAGACCATGACAAGAAAAGGAGCGGCCTCGCAAAAATTTCTATTAGAAATATTCTCAGTTGAAGGAAGCGTCGCTGTCTTATCGCTTATATTTTAACAAGAAGCATGTCTCATCGTTCGAAAACGGTACTGAAGCGTAAGGAGAACAATTTAATAAATATAATCTATTATGCAAATCCGATAGCTAATATTTTTATGTATTACATGTATTGTAAGCAGAAAAGACACTGATAGAGCAGAAACGTATCACTTACGATATCCGTAACGAGTAGAATGTTTCAGCAGATTGGAAAAATCTGTTTTTCATCATGTTTAATTCAATGTTCACCGATATTATAATTTCAATAATTTTAGTCAAAATATCATGAATTCTTACCTCTAAAGGCAATTGTTTACTTCATCTAATGTTTTCAGATACTAATTTCAACTGATAATCTCAAAGTATGAAACTCATATTACTTTATTTCAGCAAGTATGAAAACATTTCAAGTTATAGAAAAATAAAATTCCCCAGGTCGATCAAAACGGAACTCCGTTACGGTCCGTTTACCGGAATCAGTTTTACGGACCGTATCTCTATTGTAAAATAGCCGTAAGTAGTCATATTTTCACCGTAAACGATTTGGTATTACTGTGTTCAGTAAAGACACGTAGTATGAACCGTACATTGTGAAAATACGGCTACTTACGGCTATTTTACAATAGAGATACGGTCCGTAAAACTCATTCCAGTAAACGGACCGTGTCGTTCGACCTGAGTCAGTATGACGTAAAACGATAAAATACTACTCCAGTGTTCATCTTCCGAGTCTCTGTATCCTACCTTCATAGATTTTCATAGTGGTTTATACAATATCATTTAATACAGAATTGAATGCTCTATCGGATAATATTATTATTTTTCTGAGAAGTATTTTATAAAATGAGCTTTTCATCAATATATTTGAAAAATACATTGTTGTGTAGTGTTTAACTTACAGCTTTCGTTTTTTCACCTATATAATGAGATCATAGGAAATTGTAACATATATAGATTTGTAGAGCATGTTGAGTTCTATCGATTGGTATATGATTCAATTATGAAATTAAAAACTCGCGAAGAAAAAATGTGCACAGACAAATTTTGTATAATGCGTAAAATATGATGTTCATGGTCAATATTGAAATGGAATATTCTCGCGATTCGAACGTTTTGAAACAATTTCCTAGATACCATTCGATGCAGAATTGAAAGCTGTATCAGCTAGTATAAAATATATTTTGGACATGCATTTTTCTCCTAGGCGTTAGGCCAAAATACTGGAAAATGAACAAAATTTCATATAAACTAAAAAATCATGATTTTTCGATTTTTTTTCGTTCTAAATAGAGATGATAGAGAAATGTCCTATACACAGTTTTGTAGAGTAAATCAAGCTCTATCGATTGGTATATGACTCGATTTCGACAGGGAAAATTTCATAGGAAAAAATTTGACTGAAACTAATCGACCAATTTTTTCCAATTTTTAGAACATTTTTTGTGGGTGTGTCAGGTGCGATGGCTCTAGGTAACCAGTAGTAAATCTTTAGACCGCAATATTTTGGATTCATATATGGCACACAAGGGCTGACATTTCTAGAGGGTCAAATCCAAAATCGGTCGACCCCCATGTTTTTTCAAATTTGAAAATCTTTTATTTTCTCATGGAGCGTCTCTTAAAGTTCTCGATGTAAAATGGGAACGGTATGAGATATCAAAGTGCTCCGAACGCATTTAAGTCAGCATCAAAAGCTCATACCCGATGGGGCCCTTTGAGGACCTGGAGAAGATTTTGCAAGGGTTTTTGGAGCGGTCGATTTTTGTTGAAAGTTCAAAAAGAATTCAATCAATCTTTTAACGAAAAGACAAACGAATTTGCATTCTCAACTCTCGGCTTTGAGCAACCGGGTGTGGGTGTGTTAAGCATACCAAGATCTAGATTTTGCTCTTGCTCATAAGACTCGTTCAGGTGGCTTAAGACATCTGAATCAAATTCAAGAGTCAATTAAAATATCTAACTACACTATCGTCTGAAAGCAAGTTTTTGACGAAGTGTAGAAAATAAAGAAACTGGTGTAATTTAGAAGAGCTGTAAGGTAGAAGAGATGATCTCTTTACGGGACTCGAACCATGTATTTTCTGCTATCCGGTATCGGGTTAGAGAAAACTAGTTTATACTTTATTCGTATTCATTTTTAAACAATTCTTGTATATCGTTGAATATTCACTTTTTTCTTTACGCTGCCGATAAGTGTCATTTTTCAGTCAACTTCTGTCAATTTTGGTTTCGTTTAAAATGATTGTTGAAACAAATTGCTTTAAAATGTAGGATATGTGAGTATAGTCTGTAGTCTCGGTTAGGATGGCTGTTTTTTTTCATAGTCCTAGCCTCGGTAAACTTTTATGTTTTGATTCTGGTCCCAATACGGTTTTAATTCTTTTTTGTTCTGCACATCTTTATAAAGAATATGTGGTTAGGCTCACGAGTGCATAAAAATTTTTAGTAAATTTCGAAAAGAATAATTTTCTTTTAATGACATTTCTCACGGGTCCATGTAAGAAATAGCAAATGCTTTTGTATCAATATAATTTATTGTAACGCTCCCCTTAATAAAAGCCCCCGAGGGCTTCTAAAACGGGAGGGGCTTCTATTGTAAGGGGGGGGGGGTTACAATATTTCATTGTTACCGTTGATAAATACGTTTGGATGAAAATTTTACTAATTGTTTATTATTATAGAGCTTGCTGGCCTTTGTGATGATTGATGAATGAGAAATATTATAAAATTTTTCTGTTTTCCTGGGACAAAGTAATACAACAATTTCAAGTAGTATACAAAAAACAGGTATTACTGTGCTCATTTTTGTTCTTTCTCTTTCTCTCTCTCTCTCTTTTTGTGTCTCTGTCTCTCTTTTTTTCTCTCTCTCTCTGTGTTTGACTGTCTCCTTCTCATTTTATAATATGTACGATAGATTTGAAACGCATGAATAAAAACAGTATCACCGAAATTGCTTTGAATACTATATTATCGTTCCTTTATGATAATAAGTAACTTTATTTCTCAGTTAGATTGTTAGTAGTATATGATATATTAATAATCGTAACGCATAAAATGTGAAAATTGTAGTCTAAAATAGAATTTATTAGTTGATTGATTCGCGAGTAGAATGAAGGTAAGGTGTAGGCAACTAAAGAAGCAGTATGATAGAGAATGTTTTTCCGTTTCAACAGGATCTGTTAAAAAAAAACAATATGATTTTTAAGAAAACTCAAGAGGTATCTTATCGGCACTCACCCAATTATCGTAGCGCTAGTACAGCTACTGCTGTATGCAGTTTTACAAGCAGCATCACAGCCAGAACAGGACGTTGCTGTTACTGAACCACCAATGTTGCCAGTACAAGTTCCGCTACTGAGAGTACAAGAACAGGATACAGTTGATGAGCTGAAGCTTGCTGAGTTTGTAGAGCTTGATGATGATGATGATGACAATCCCACGCTTAGGCCTATAGGGAGGGCAATTAGCAAGCAAATACTAATGATGCCTAATGTAGTCGTAAGAATATTACAAATTAAAGCTCTTCTGCTCCATTTTTTGGCTTCATTCAAATTATTTACTCGCTTTTGTTCACGAGTAAAATATGAGAATAAGACAGCAATAAGACCAGCTACAATACCACCGATAAATATATTTATAATTGACCAAAATAAATAATCGCGAATTTTTTTCACAACCGGCTGTTGCTGATATAATTGAGGGTATGGCATACGAGCACTAGGGTTACGAGCTCGAGGAGGATATGAATGTCGTTGAATAGAATTTTGCATCATCTTGGTAATATTGACTATTGATTTTTGAAATGTGTACACGAAGTGCGAGTCCGCTTCAGTTGTTTAGACTAAAAGAAAACGGCTACTACAGATTTCAATACGAGAAATGATTAGTATGATTCTGATTTCCAATATATACCTACATCGGCATACATAAAATGAAGGTCATCATTTGCTTAAACCGAGTAACATCTATGAAAATAAATGCAATAGCGTCGTCACTTCCTTTCGCTATCAATATGCGATGCAAAAATCTTTGCAAAAATGTGCAACTCACTGCCGAACGGATACATGTATGCATTTGACTGATCAGTTTGTGATCATTTGATAGCTCATTTTGTTCTCTGTTGAACAATATGCTATTCATTGTTGTTATTTGTTTATTTAGAAGATGACCCGCGATGAAAGAGAAGCACTTTCACAACGCATTTGTCACTTCTATCTTGATTCTTCGAATCGATCCGTTAAAACTACGGTAAATTATTTTACGAAACAAAATATTCCACCAAGAACCATATATTATGTATTAAATAAGTATTTCAAATATGGAACAACCAAAGATCGACGACGAACAGGGCGCCCATTGAAATTAACCACTGAACATATACAGAACCTTGTCAAATCTGTCAACAATCGATGTGGTCTTAGCCAACGTAAAATGGCACGACGCTTTCAAGTACACCAGTCAACTATTTCACGGAATCTACGAAGACGAACAGCAGTCGTTATTAGAAAACGTCGGAAGGCTCCAAAAATGGACAACAAAGAACAAGAAAATCGAGCACGAAAAAACTGGAAAATTATATCGCCAGTTGTTGAACGGTTGTGATCTGATTCTTGATGATGAAAAATATTTTAAATTAAGTGGGAACAATGTCTGTGGTAATCGATATTTTTATTCTACTGATCCAAGCAGTGCTCCTCCTAACATTAAATTTCAAGGAAAAAAGAAATTTGAACCAAAAGTAATGATTTGGATGGCTTGTTCTTCGAAAGGTATTTCTGATATATACGTTCACAGAAGCAAGCAAGCTATTGATCAACACACATACCTTAAAGAATGCATTAATAAGAGACTACTTGCTTTTATAGAAAGGTATCATAATGATGGAAATTATCTCTTCTGGCCCGACTTGGCCAATGCTCATTATGCAAAAGTAGTACAGACACGTTTAAACGAGAAAAATGTACTGTATGTTCGTCGCCAAGATAATCCTCCAAATGTACCTCAAGCTCGTCCAATTGAATATATTTGGGCTCAACTTGAACGAAAGATCTATGAAAATAATTGGGAAGCAAAAAATGTGAATACATTGATTCGGAGGATCAGGCAAAAGGTAAAGGAACTGGATCGAATAGCGTTGCAAACTATGATTCGGGGTACTCCAATGAAACTTCGGGCTATGTGGCGAAATGGATTATATTCAGTTTGCTAACTGAACATTTTCATAGTGGTTTGGATGCTCTTTTCAATAGAAAGAGGATTATCTCTAAAGCTTGTTAAATGACTAAACTATAGAGATTAAAATTTTTGCAAAGATTTTTGCATCGCATATTATGTACAAATCTAAGCGTAAAGTTTCATATCAATTAATTTGACGAAGATGAAACAGTACTAGAACATGGTAGGAAAACAAGTAGTTTCGTGTCTTTTAACTATTGCGTATATTATTTTAATTATAACTTGTATATTTCCAAACCTTTATATTTCAAGGTAACCGACGTAAAGTATAAACATCATAATATCATAACGAAGAAAAACAAAAAATATATAGTTCGACATCAACAGCATAATAACATATGGGCTATTTTACATTTATTAATGCTCATTATTAGAAAAAAAACTGGAACATGATTGAAACAACTGAGATATCATATCTAGATAAACAAAAGAAATACACATGAGTATGTGAAACAAACTGATGAATCTGTAATATAAAGACAAACACTATCAACTCTTCTCGACTCTTGAGGTTGTGTTAAATACTCAAAATATAGATCCAAAGTAGAACCCGACGCGTTTCGAACCATGCTTAAGGGTTCAATCATCAGGTATCTTTAGAATTTTTTATTACATGGGAAAATTGAAACTATATATATAGTTAGAAATATTCCTTAGTATTTAACATTTATTCTTTAATTCAATAAAGGAGCCGAATAAGGCGGCAATCAAGTTGAATATATAGAAATAAAGTTAAAAGAAGTAAATCTTATATAGTTATAATTTCGTATAACGTAGCTCTATATATAACGTCATCAAACATGCCACGATCCAGATTTCGACTATTGCTTAGATAGTCATCATCAGATGGTTTTGACTCTGCTACAGTTATTCGAATGATTTAAAATAAGTGAAATCTTAAAGAAAGTATAATAATCTATACAGCATTTTGAATTCAATTCAATAGTGTTGTAACTATTACGACGCGTTTCGATCATTCTTAACCCGAATTTCGATTACTAGCTTTTCAAGAAAATTCAATTCAATTCGAGATAATGTAAACTATTCTACTAGAAAGTGAATTTCTAAACGTTTATTATTCAAAATGCTTTAGATTAAAACAATTGTACGGTAACTTTTCACTTTACAAGAATTTGTATCAGGTTTGTCTGCAATCTGTTGGTATATACATCGAAAACTATCAAAATCAATGTAGAATTGAACGTTGTACAAAAAGGTAAAAAAACACAAGATTACAATAAGAAGTGAAAATTTGAATGCATTGATCATAAATTAAATGGCACTGAAAATTCATTTATTCTGAACAATTCCCTGATCAAGAAAAAATATATATTTAATTAAACCATACTAACACCCACCCATATGAGTTCCCTTAAATAAAACGAAACAGATTCCTAATATCGATGTTTCTTTTAAGCTATAAAAATTTAAATAAAAAACAGATTGGCCTATCTATGTTGAAAGAATAGATAAAAGTCAATTTACTATTCTCAACTCTTGCTCTTCAGCAATCGATTGTATTGTCAAGATTAAATGAATGTGCTAAACAACCAGTTATTGTGCTTGATATAAAAAATCATTAAAGAAATGCAGAGTTTTATTTGCCGACGCGTTTCGTGTTATTTATTGAAATATTAAACACTCATCATGGCTCTGCATTACATTACATTTCTACTACAATAGAAAACAAAAAAATAACAAAAAAGGGTGTGGGTGTTCTATAATTAATTCAGCCTAGACCTACACCCACATCCACACCCACGTCCACACCCTTGTGGTTGCCATTGTTTACCTTTTCATTATCCGACAAAAATTGATAAGAAGCAAAGTAATTGGTCTTCACTATATACCATGTTGTCACCATGGAGCTTGAGCCTAGTTCAACTAGGACACGAAATGAAAAGACAGATTGTTTGATTAGGCGGCATGGGTTCCCTTCGAAGAGACTGGTGTCGGCTCACTTCGCAGAGGCGCAGAATGAGGAGAAATAGTCTTGAATGTTCAAATTACTAGTGTGCTCTTTTTTCCTTCAATCAACCAGTACCACGTATGTGTTGTGTTCTGTTGACACAATATGCTGGGGAAGCGGGAGGGAGGGAGAGGAACAAAACAAACACACATCTCTTTCGTGTGTGTGCACGAAAAATAAGTTATGAAAGTCGAGTTTTTTTGGTGTTGTCAAGAAACGAAAGTGGCAAGATAAGAGAGAGACAGATAAAAAGAGAGAGCGCGAGCGACATGTATAAAAGGCAACTGAAAGTGCTCTAACAATTCAGTTTCTTCTTCGCCCACTGCGAATCTCTTCAGACACATGGCAGAAGCAGCGAATTCACAACCGGAAAAGAAAGCCGGCATTATTATCTTGGGAAACGCCGGCTCTGGAAAGAGTTTCCTCTGCAATGTTCTCATTGGCACTGACCGCTTCAAATCTAATTTCGATCCTGGAGCAGTGACAACGGAAACAGAACACCAACGTGTCAAGATTCATGGAAAATATCTATACATCTTCAATATTCCCGGGTTGATTGATTTGAATGACGACCGAATCAAACAGAACAAAGAAGAGATCGAGAAAGCATTTAAAGCGTGCCCTAACTCGCTTGTTCTTTACGTTTGGTCACATGTCGGTGGTCGTTGTCAAAGAGATGATGTCATTGCCTTCAAAGCACTGTATGAAGCCTATAAGTTTCCGAAAGGTGGGTCCAACCTAAAAGAGATAAACGGCTTTACAACATGTTTACTCTCTTTTTCTTCATAGATTCCCTTGCATTCGTCGTCAACAATTTAGACCCTATCCGACCGGAAGGCTACGACGAAAAATTCATGGTTACCCTCAAAGTAGCTCTTGCGCCTCAAACGTTTCCCGCAAGCGACTTTGTCTTCATTGAAAAAATTGAACCTAACAACCCAGAAACACAAGAGAAGATTAAAGATGCACGTCTCACGCTTATGCAATTGATCATAGGACATCAAATAGCTCACCAAACTGAATACGGAAAAATTGATCTTGAATCAAAAGAAATCAAAAAAATCCGTGATGAATTCAAGGAAAAACAAGACGCACTTCTACAGGATCAAAAAGCCTTGACGACGAAAATGAACGAAATGAAAATAATTCTCAAAAAGCGAGAAGAAGAAGCGAATCAACGAATCGAACAATTGCAAACAGAGTTGGCAATCCGTGAAGAAAAAACAAACAGACATATTGACCGATTGACGGCACAGTTGAAAGACAAGGAAACGGAAATGACGATGAATCTTAAAGAGCGTGACGAAAGAACGAACAAACAAATTCAAGAATTGAAGACAAAGTTGCAAGCAAAGGAAGAACAAAGAAGAAAAGATCTCAAAGACCATGAAGAAAAAACGAACAGACAAATCGACCGATTGAACAGAGAGTTGAAAGGCAAGGAAGCGGAAATGAAGATGGATTTCGAAAAGCGTCAAGAAAACACGAACAGACAAATCGAAAAATTGAACAAAATGTTGGCAGAAAAGGAAGCGGAAAGAAAAAACGATCTTCGCATGCATGCAGCAAATACGAACGAACGAATCCAACAATTGCAGGCACAATTGGCTGAAAAACGGTCACGCCATACGGACACAGATTCAAGTGATACAGATACGAGTTCAAGTGATACAGATACGAGCTCAAGTGATACAGATACGAGCTCAAGTGATACAGATACGAGCTCAAGTGATACAGATACGAGCTCAAGTGAAGATGAAAGGTCGCACGCAACAACACGACGAAAAACTCCGGAAGCAGATTCATTGCTGAAAGTTCTAGGTGATAACCTCGTTTCAGTGACTATTCCATTGGCTAAAAAACTCTTCATAGGATGAAGATACGCCGTGTGTATGTTCTTCTGTTCCTGCTGAGTGAAACTGTTCAAAATACTCTGTGTTATGCACCTTTTCTTACACTATGCCAATCGAGAGAAGTTCCTATGCGTGTTTCTCTTTATGCAAATAAAAAGACTTTATAGCTTTCATACAAACCGAAGCAAAAACTTACACAGCGTAACTCTCATAAACGTTAGTAGCGCTTCACACTCGAGACCCAGAAGGCTTAAGCATACAAGGGATTAGCCGACGTTGATGATTGATAAGTAACCTAAAAAAAGAAAAAAAATGAGCTAACTTCAAAAACGTTTAAAAAAAAAGAATACTGAAAAAAATGGAAAGGGTGTGATATAGGCAGCAATGACGCGTTTCGATCTTGCTTAAGGATCTGATCAGATGGCATTAAATCTCTATGATTACTTATAGAAGAATCAACAAGATGTATTCTAATTTATACTGTTATAGATAGAAAATTTTTTACAAAATTCTATTCTATAATGATAAGAGTGTGGGGTGTGGGTGTTCTATATTTAATTCAGCCTAGACCCACACCCACACCCTCATCCGAGTAATCTGAGTACTCATGCTGTAAAGACGTACTCGCTGGACGAGTACATTCACTAGGGTACTTGGCAGCAGATTATCAAGAGGGTGCTAGTCAATTAAGATGAAAGCTTGGTTGCAAAAATTTTAATAACGGATCATGATGATCTAAATATAAACAAGAAAACACTATTAGTAAAAACTTAAGTTAATATGTGATGAATCATTTTTAACAAATATCTTTAAATATAAAATATATGGAGAACATGTATAAATGATTGTTAAAAACTGTCTGGAACAGTGCAATAACCTACCCTTAGGCGTAGATTAATATACCCTTTTGAATAGCATCTAGTAGTAATCTACCCTCTAGCGTATTATAATAAACCTTCTCTTTGAACCGAATAATAATCTACCCTTCATTGCTGAATTAGAAACGGATGTGAAAAATGTGTTTATTAATCTACCCGTAATCGTTTAATAATAAACTGCTTTCCTTAAAATATGAAATGCAAAACCCTTAGAAGAGCTTCATATACCCTGTGCCTCTTCAAATACCCTTACGCTCAAAAACCCTTTGGATCATCCTCAAGAGTTTATGAAAAGGAACATCAAGAGCAAGGGCTGATTATTCTGCGCTTTTTTTTACAGTGAATGACAAATGTTGTATGATAGTAAATAGCATGCCCTGAAATCACCAACCTCATTATTATTGATTTTACCATTTAGATGAGAAATAATGAAACAATTGAAACGGAGAAAAGATATTCGACATAACGTAATGCATGGCGCATTAGTAAATAAGCTAAAATTTCATATTAACAGAATAACGAGGCATTCTCAATGACGTTTTCTTTCAGCAGCACGATCGCTCCGAATAGTTCACATTTTCTATTTAAAATATCTATCGAAAGAATTTATAAATCACAATATATACTCATTGTACACTTATAAGATTACAATCTTCACCAATTTATCAATCATTTTTTACAGACAGCAAGACCAGCTGAATTTTTTCCCAACGATTTAATATGATTCTGAAGTAATTTTCTATGTGTGTAAAACTTGCATAGACTTTTTTCGAAGCGATAACAAAAATGTTTTTCATTTCGTATATCATTCGTGGAACATGGCATCATTTTTTTAATTTGTTTTTTATTTCAAGTTACAGTCATGTGCATAGGGCAAAGTAAATTGCTGTTAATTAAAGTAATCCTTTTGTTGATTCCTTTAGTTAAATACACCAAAATTTTAGAACGATTTCCGATTATTTTCGAGAAATCATAATCTGATTTGACAAACTATTTGCCTACTATTAAATATACAGCTAACATTTTTTAACTATCAGTTTTTACTTGAGATAATTATAAGAACGAAATCAATTTTTTTTTACAGCTGATTTACATATTTATTTTATGAGCTTTTTCCAACAAATAAAAATGAACATACTTAGGCCGAAAATTATATGAAATTCAAGCCGCAAAAGAGCTATATAGATTTTATGATAAAAAGTGATGATACTATTTTTGAATATTCACTAGGTCTAATAGAGGTTTGATAAGGGAAACGGCAGCATGCAAGAGGGAATATAGGAAGAATAGCTCGCATGTAGGTGAGTGGCAAGAGCGTGTTTCGTGGGACATTTTTCTCCTTTGAATGCAGAATATTTCGCGTTTTAGTGTCCTTTTTTCATATTTCCAATAGCTTTTGTTACAAGAATTGCTGTTTTGTTACATAGGAGCACTTTTGGTTCTCACAAGATAGTGAGATAATCTGTTACCTGAAATGTCTTTGATAATGTGAAAACCAAAGTAGAAAATAATTTATTATCATCACCAGACAAGCATATAAAACCACAGGAAACTCAAATACTAACAAAGAATATTTTCATTCTAGATTTTCTTCAGTTATTTCTGAGCTTACCTCGATTTTACTACTCAACAAAAGAAATGTCAAATACATCAAGTAAGTAATGCAAGAAGCATTACTCTTTGTGATTCTTTCTTTCTTGATTTATGTTTTATCTTCTTAGAAATAACAACAACAACAACCATGAATACAAGCAATTCTTCAAACTCACCCATGGCATCTTACCAAGATAAAGTAGACATGGCATTTGTTCTCATAAGATATATTTGCTATTATTATCATAGATCACATCTGAATTATCGCCTAGAATAATTAAACGAAGTATTTCTGGTGAGATTCAAATGGAAGCGAAAACGTTCATGGTTCAACATGACAATTCAAAGAAGATGAGTCTATGCGACACTGCAACATTATCTCCAATGAAATTTGTGAGCGCAGCTACCATGGTCGTCCCGAAAAACACGACCAACGATGCAATACCAGAAATATCTGATGAGGAATTGCTTGAAATGGCATTGATGTTGGAAAAGCAGCAGCAACAAGAACAAACTATCATCATTATCGATGACATGAAGCAATAAATAAAATAAAGACTAATGTTTTGATGTGCTTGTGTGTGACTGTAGATGTTTTGTGTGTCCTAGAAATTCATTTAGTACAACGTTCAGTTTGATTGTATGCATGATTGATTCCATAGAATTTCTGGGCCAATCACAATCAGAAGGATGCTTCAGAAATATTTTATGCAAATAGTAGCAGAACCCTAAAAAAATCAAATGAGATGAATGTTATGATAATTCGTTTTGATTGCAGATTTCCTTTACTCCTTGCTCGACTCATCTCGATACTTTTCGTCAATACAAAATGTCATATCCATCAAGTGAGTAGTGAGATAGGCCAGGCCGTCGTAATTACATCTTAAGGTTTCTCATATTTGTTAGAATCGACAATTAACACTATCGATGATACTGACTCGAGCGTGACATCTACTCAACATAAGGTAGGAATCTATGTTATCATAAAAAATCTATATTATCGATATCATAGGCAACACCTAAACTATTGACTGAAACAATCAAACGAAGTACACTGTAAAAAAAAAACGTAGAATAATAAACGAAAAAAGGGTTTATGAAAGTGCAACGTGTCGCAAACCCTTTTCAACCGTTTATCAACGAGTCATAAAC